GAGAGGTCTGGGGGAGAGGCCTGGCAACTTTCCTGCCTTTAGGGTTTACAAAGTTTACAAAGTAATCAAGATTTACTAAGAGAGTCCACCCCAGGAAAGCCTTTCCCTGTCTCTCAAGTAAGCATGAATATTCAGCAGAACCTCCTCCTATTGAACAGGTCTTAAGTCCAATTAAACAGCTGTTGATTACCCCTAAGGTAAAAGTGTCACTACTCCAGTAATGGGAGTTGTATTCAGGTCCTCTAATGGGACAGAACTGACAGGATTGTGTATATATGTGTGCAATCCATTGATTATCTTCCTGAAGCAAACCCTGTCTTAGTCACTGTTCTATTTGAAGAGACACCATGATCAAGGCAACTCTTAAAAAAAAAAAAAAAGCACTTATGTGGGCTTTGCTTACATTTCCAGAGGTTTAGTTCATCATCACTGTGACAGGCAATACGATGGTAGTACAGAGGAAGACACAGTGCTGGAGACATAGCTGAGAGCTGCATTCTGATCTGTAGGCAGCAGGAAGAGCAGTCCTGGGCCGCACATGCTTTGGAAACCTCAACATATACCCCCAGTGACACACTTCCTCCAACAAGGCCACACCTTCTAATCCTCCTCAAGTAGTGCCGCTACTTGATGACTATGCATCCGAACATATGAGCCCAAGGGGCATGCTTAGGAAACCATCACACTGACTAATGCACTGTCTGTGACCCTTTGAGTCAATGTACTGCTTCACCCAGAGGAAACAAGGACTTTCATAGATTTACTAGAACATACTGTCAAAGTGAATGAGTCATAGGAATTCTTAGCCAAGCAACAGAACTCCAAAACAATTGACATTCTAGAACTCCAGAGTATGTATTTAAGCCAGACACAATGGTGCATGTATACAATCCTAACACTATGTTAGCTGAAGTAGAGGATTACAGTGATTTCTTGACTATCATGGAGTACAGAGTGAGTTTAAGACCAGCCTGTGCTATAAAGATGACCGATCTCAAAAAAAAAAAAATATTGAATAGATTTGCCAACAGACTGAGCCACAAAGAGATCAAATAAAATGTAAGTGCTAATTATCTTACATGAAAAAGAGGAAAATAACAGGGAAAATATCTGAAAAAAATTTCTGATCTAAAAGATGATTATTAAGTCTAGCTGGGCCGGGCAGTGGTGGCACACGTCTTTAATCCCAGCACTTGGGAGGCAGAGGCAGGTGGATTTCTGAGTTCGGGGCCAGCCTGGTCTACAGAGTGAGTGCCAGGACAGCCAGAACTATACAGAGAAACCCTGTCTCAAAAAGAAGAAGAAGAAGAAGAAGAAGAAGAAGAAGAAGAAGAAGAAGAAGAAGAAGAAGAGGAGGAGGAGGAGGAGGAGGAGGAGGAGGAGGAGGAGGAGGAGGAGGAGAAATCTAGCTGGGGCTGAAGTAGCTGGGGCTGAAGACATGACCCAGCAGATAAAAACACTGGCTGTTCTTCCAGAGGCCCTCAATTTGTGCAGTAATGAGGTATCTCACAATGATCTCTAATGGGGTCTGATGTCTTCTCTGTCATGTAGGCACACATGCAAATATAGCACTCACATACAGAAATGAATAAACCTTTTTTAAAAAAGTTTAGCATGTATATATAACTGGTTTCATAGATTAACTGGGATTGGACAGCAAGATGGCTCAGTGAGTAAGGGTGTTTGCTGCTAAGCCCGAGGACCTGAGTTCAGTCACTGGGACCTACATAGTAAAACAAGAGAACTGATTCCCTCAAGTTGTCCTATGACCTCTACAGAGCACCCACACACAAATAAATGAGATAAAAACAAATTGAGTTAAAAAGAAAATGGAGCAGAAATGAAATTTAACCAAATTTTTCCAAATTTAATTTATAAGAATATGATTAATATAGAAGCTTAAGAACTTTAACAAATCCCAAACAACAAAATAAAAAATCCAAACCAAAACGACAACATCAAAACAAAAACCATGCACAAAGAGCAAATTGTCCTAATATAACTGCAGTCATTTCTGAGATTACCAGACTAACAGTGACACAGGAAGCTTTGAAAACTCCTGATGTCTCAGGCCCACACCAAGCCAACCCATTCAATCTTTGGGATGAGACCCAGATATGAATATTCTAGATCCAGGAAATTCCAAGGTACAGTCAATTCTGAGTTGTAAATAAATGTTGTGTCTGCTGCCACTAAAAAAGATAAACACTCCCTTGGACTGCCACTGGACTCTGGAGGCTGTGCGCCACAACTGGGAATGTCCAACTGTCCCGTCTACCTGATAAATGTACAAAGCAGTAAGCATCCCGAGAAACCCGGCACAGGGCCTCTTCCAGTGGTCCAGTCTGCAGGAGTGTTACCTTCGTCAGTGGACGCTGACGACCACTGTGGCCTACATAGATGGTTAGCCTTGAGAGGGATGGGAGAGGTAGTTGAAGGCTATATAGCTCACCGTGCCAGAACATTTGAAGCAAGGGCCACTGAATTCCAGATCACTTCTTGGTGTGTGTTGTATTGCTACTACAAAATACTGAGGCTGGGTGCTTTACAAAGAGAAAAAACTGTGCCTCCAGCTCCAGACATCCAAGTGCATGTCAGTAGAATCCACTCAGCTTCTGGTGAGAGCCTTGTGGCAGTAACGCCAAGGCTCTTTGTGTAGAGGAGCATAGGTTTGAGAGGTGGAGGGGAACTGCTGGGCCTGCGAACAACCATGTCACAGAAGCCCATCTCCAGATCAACAGCTCGCTCATAGAAAAATATTAATCCCTAGTCAAGACCGACCAACACTGCCCACTGGGCCCAAACCTCAATGAGACCTTCATGACGTGAGCCGTATCTCTCAACCATGCCATACCTTCAAACAGTAGCACCCTTTGAGCACATAAGCAATGTGTCTCTCCTTTAATTCAGCATTAAGATCACCGCCTCGTTCCCCTACGCCTTGTATATTAACTGTAGTGTATGTAGGGCTGATTTTAGCTAACTGTTCATTTCACAAACTGCACGGTATACCTACAGCACCACTGAGCTATATATGTAGAATTGACACCATTTCTACAAATGCTGCTGCCTTCAATAGCACCAGATGTTTTTAATCACTTCAGAAACTAGTTCTCTTTGGAAGTCCTGCCCTCTGGTGTCCACTAGAGGGAACTCCTTTGTCTGTGCTCTGGATTCTAGAGAGGGAGAGGAAATGGAGCTTTAGAGTTTCCTACACAGGCAAACAGATGTTTCTGTTAGTGAAATCTGAAAAAAAGTGTAACACCAGCAGTCCCAAGATTGGCACTAATGACATTTCTTGAGATGGGGTGAAGTTTGCCCACCTGTGTACTGTGAATCACTTAGCAGTGTCCTTGTATCTATCCACTACCTGCCACACTCACAAACTAGTTAGGACAAGCAAAAAACGCAGACGTTGCCATTGCCAAATTGCTTGAGGGCTGGAAGGGAAGTGAGTCCCAAGCCGAGAGCCACTGATGTGCTGCTGGTGGGACAATTGGAGCCCAGGCCTTACTGCCCTCTAAGCAGCAACAAGCCCTGTTGGTCACGAACTGGCATAGAGCCTCAACCTGAACCCAAGCTGAAACCCCTGAGGTCACAGCTTGTGAACCACAGGAAGAAGGTTCTGTCTGCTGGGCATAAGGAGGGAAATCACAGCAGTAGGTGTTGGAGGGAGCTGGTCCCACTTATCTCCAATCGGGAAGCAGAGAGAGATGGTGATGCTCTCTCCACCTGTCTTCTCCTTTTTATTCATTTTGAGACCCTGCATTGACTGGTGCTATCCAGTTAGGGTGAGCCTTGTTACCTCAGCCCACCCAATCAAGCAACTCCCTTGTATACAAGCCCTATGTCTTTTACACTGGGAGGGAGTGGGGAGCATGCCTGGGCTGGAAAGACGGCTCAGCTGAAGGCTCTCTGACAGACAGAGATACACTCGAGAGAGCATACCCGCAACAGAGACATACAAACAGAGAGAGGGGGGAGGGCGGGGGAGAGGGAGAGGGAG